CCAGCCACAGAAATGCTGACGCGTGGATGCCTATTGGTCCCGATTGGTGCCACCAACCGGGACCAAAGGGTCTCCTGCCTGGGCTCCGCGCACAGGCCACGTGGAGGCCCATCAGTCCCGGTTCTGGATTGAACCGGGACTAAAGGGGCAGGGCATTAGTACCGACCCTTTAGTCCCGGTTCAGGAACCGGGACAAAAGACCGTTACGAACCGGGACAATAGGCCCTTTTTCTACCAGTGAATAGACTCATGATGTAATCTACTAATCAGTCGTGACATTATTTGACGCACCCCCCACGTCTACATGTTGACACATCATAGCAGTGTCTACTGGGACTATGTTAGAAAACAAGACAAGATCCTAAGTGCCAGACGTATAAAGTTGCAAGTAAAATCCTCATGCCCTAGCCTATTTATCATTCAATTGTTTTCTCTCTTAAAAGATAACGATTTTCGGTCCGGGAAATTGGAACTTCTAACGACAACAATATCTTGTTTGAATCCTATATTTTTTTGGTTATAATTTTATATAGAATAGAATGAACAGATAAGTATGGGAAACAGTTTTGGAGGAACCGGGTGATCTGCTCAACAAAATTTGCTAGTCCCATCGTTAGTTTTTGTGATGTTGCATACCTAAAGCACTGTTAACAAGATTGCTTTTAGTTTGAAGTACTCTTGTCTGTCAACATCCGAGACTCAAGACCCCTTGATCAAGTCAATACAGACTTTAGAAACTTTGACCACAAATTTTCTCATTTTAATTATATTCAGATTGAATATTTGGAAATCATATGCGTTGGTTTGTCTCAAAAATTATTTGCAGATTCTACTAATCTTATATTATAATAGAAAATTAGAAATGAACAGATTGAGTAGGGAAACCAGTTTTCGAGGAACTGAGTGATCCAGAAAAAAAATGGCAAGTCCCATCATTAGCTGTTGTGTCACTTCAAGTCTGAAGCGCCAATTTCTAATTATAAACATTCAAAAAGGTTTCTGCTTTCTCTGACGCCATCATCACTTGAACAAAATTCACACAGTAAGGCCTCTTTTGGTTCATAGGATAGGATTATCGTAAGAATAGGAATCTTATAGGAAATGAGATGACATGTATTTCAAATCCTATGAGTAGGAATAGGAAACAAGATGTCATTTGGTTGACATCAAAGGATTTTTTTCATTGGGTCTAGGCTCATTTTTATTTTCCTATGAAAAGTGGAGGATAGGAACCAATCCTATGTAGGAATAGGAATCCATTCCTATGAACCAAAGGGCTCTAAAGGAAAAAATCCTATAAGAATCCTATCCTCTAGAATTTCTATGAAATTCCTCCAAGCCAAAGGAGGCCTAGGTGAAATTCTCTGTTCGCTTCAACGGACAACTCTTGGAGTCATTTACGCCTTCATGTGGTATCAGGCAAGGAGACCCTCTATCTCCTTATTTATTCTTGTTCGTGGCCGAGGCCCTCTCTGTGTTGTTACAGGATGCGTGTAATAGAGGAGCGCTGCTAGAATTCAAGGTGAACAGGCAAGCGTCAGGTATTTCACATCTATTGTTTGCAGATGACTGTCTTTTATTTTTCAAGGGAGCCATTGATCAAGCGTTGACAATTAAAAATATTATTTCAACATATGAGAAAGGGATTAGCCAATTGTTGAGCCCAGATAAATGCTCTATCATGTTTGGTAAAAAATGTAGTATGGAAGTTCAAGTGGCTGTTATGGTAATTTTTTGCATTACCGCCGAAGGATTTGAGGACAAATATCTTGTTTTACCGGTGCCTCAAGGTCGAATGAAGGAGGGCAAATTTCAATCCACTAAGGACAAAGCTCTCAAAATACTATCGGACTGGATAGAGAAATATGCTTCTTGTGGGGCAAAAGAAACGTTGATTAAATCTGTTCTGCAAGCTCTTCCGGTGTATGCTATGGGTATTTTTAAATTCCTGGCGTCTCTGTGCGAGGAATTATCTCAGATTATAAGGAATTTCTGGTGGGGGGATGAGGAAAACAGAAGGAAGACTCATTGGTTGGCTTGGGATAAGATGACAAAGCCTAAAGCGGAGGGTGGTATGGGTTCTCGGGATCTCAGATTATTTAACCAGGCTCTTTTAGCGAAGCAGGCATGGAGGCTGGTGGTAAATCTGGAATCTCTGTGTGCCAGAGTGATCAAGGCAAAATATTATCCACAGGGGCATATTTTAGACACAGCTTTCCTGCAGTCGGCTTCTCTCACATGGCAAGGTATTCTGCATGGGTTGGAGCTGCTTAAATCCGGAGTTATTTGGAGAGTGTATGATGGGGCTAATATACATATTTGGAGAGATAATTGGCTTCCTAGAGCTTCTGGACTTAAAATCACTTCAAAGAAGAATAGAACCAGAGTTAAATGGGTTGAGCAATTGTTCATGAGTGGTGAAAGGAGATGGGATGAGGAGCTGGTTAGGCATTTATTTTACCCTTATGATGCGGATGAGATTTTGAGGATGCGGATCCAATCAAATGGGGAGGCAGATTTTGTTGCTTGGCATTATGAAAAGTCAAGGTTGTTCTCAGTTAGGAGTGTGTACAAGTTAGCGCTCACCCTTAAGGATAACAAAGAGGATGAGGGACAATCCAGTGAGGCGGTAGGGACGGAGAGGAAAATTTGGAATATTATTTGGAAGGCAAACATTCCTCAGAAGATTCGTATTTTTGCATGGAGGGTTGCTTCCAATAGCTTGGCCGTACAGGTTAATAGAGTGGCGCATCATCAAGCCTCTGTTAGTACGTGTTTTATTTGTGGCATGGAGGATGAAAATACCTTCCATGCGCTTGTCTTGTGCCCGAAGGCGCGTGCGCTTCGCATGGCCATGAGGAACATTTGGGCTCTACCTGATGAGGAGGTTTTCAGATATACGGGGTATGATTGGTTTATTGTTCTCCTGAGTCAATTAAACCCCGTAATGCGAGACCAAATTATATTCTTATTCTGGAGGACCTGGCATTTGAGAAATGATTTGATCTTTGGTAAAGGAAAGTAATCAGTTTCAGCTTCTGCTTGCTTTGTGGAGAGTTATTGGGCGTCCTTTCGTGCATATCATTCTCCGAGGCCGGTGGATTTTCAAAATAAAGGAAAAGGGCCGTTGGTCCAGATTAGCGGATTTCCTAATTCTCTGGATGCGAGTAGTAGCTGGTCCCCGCCTCCTGCAGTTTGGTTCAAGATTAATGTCGATGCTAGCTTCGTGGAGTCCATTAGAGAAGCCAGTGTGGGGGTGGTGGTCAGGGACGAGGAAGGGGAAGTTATTGTGTCGTCGTTGGATTTCATTGGTGCCTGTCAAAGCGTGGAGGAAGCGGAGCTTAGAGCTTGCATTGCCGGTCTCTACATAGGTATTTCTCTTCATAATCCTATAATTTTAGAGATTGACTGCGCTTTTGTGGAAGCGTTTCTTGCATCGAGGGACTATGACAGGTCTACTATGCGTGACCTGAAGATGGAAGTGTTGAGTATCTCGAAATTGATCAACAATCTTCAATTGTCAAAGATTAGCCGTACGGCCAATATGATGGCTCATTTAATCGCTAAGTATAGCTTTGACAATAAATTAGATGGTATTCTTGTAAATGATGTACCGCCCTGTGTGGTGAATATTGTATCGAATGAGTGTACTGGTGTGGTTGGTTAATTAATATAAGTTGGTGTTAAAAAAAAGAATGAGAACCTAACCAAAGCAGATGAACAACAGTAAAGAACGAGCAAGACCAGACTCATGAAGCAGAACAGCGAGCACATTAATTTGATTTTGAGTACATGGCTTAACCCACAGAAGAGTGACAAGAGTCCCACACCATCGACCAAACTCAAATCACATCTTCTCTCAGAAAAAAAAAGACTCAGATCACATCGACCAGCAGACAGTCGTCGCACATGCCGAAATGGGAAGCCAAGAGCCGGATGAGCCACCGGGGGAGGTGGCGGAACAAGAACGCGGCCTCGGCGGGGCCAAACGTGCGGAGCAGGCAGCAATAGAGCTCCGGGAAGGCTTCGAACGCCGCCCGGCAGATCAACCGTCCGGCGGCTCCCGGGGCGTGCATCATCGCCACCGGCGACCAGAAGTAGGCGCACACGGCCGCGGCCAAAGCCAGGATCCCCATGGGAATCATCTTCTCGCCTCGAGCTCGCTTCGATCGGCTGCTCTGTTCCTGCTGCAGTGTAGTGAACGATGCAAGTGTGGCTTGCTTCACTGGGCTTGGATGGTGGGGTTTTATAGCGCGCCGCGCGGCCATGCATGCCGGCCGCCTTAATTTCCTCCGGGAAGTGCAACGGCGACTGGTGCCGCATTGGCTTGGCTGTGTTGGGGAACCGGAGAGCCGCCGTCATATTTGTCCTCGACAAGGGAGACGGCTTGCACGTGACTGGAGAGCAAATTCTCTCTGGGGAATGGGTAGTCTAGTATTAGTCTAGTATTACTACAACGCCATAATTAAAATAAAATTCCTTGCGAGTACAAAAAAAAGAGTACCAAATAGTTTTTGTTTCACTGCAGGAAATTTAAGCAAATGCGATAATTCACAGTGCTGGAATAAACGAAGTGCACTACGACTCTACGAGATAGGTCGGTGATAATACAGTTCTTTTTCTGAGACAAAGCAAACAAATTGCCATTTTCATTGTTGATTAAAAGAGGATCTTTTAACAATGTCCCGCTGCCGGGATAAGAGAGTCTACTCTCGCGGCATTACATTACACAAATGACAGACGCCATCAAGCGTCCAAATACAGGTCTCCTCTTTGATTTTATTGAAAAAAATTCTTGCTGTGGCAGCTTTGTTTCTAAAAGTTCTTGTGTTCCGCTTGTTCCAAAGTTCCCAAGAGACGCCCCGAGCGCCCTCCATCTAGGACATTCTTGAACGACCATTCTTTGACTGACATCTCGTGCCGCCAAACCATCGTGATGCCATTGTTGAGGCTGATCCATGAAGCCACGTCACATGTTCGGAGAATCTGCATGCAGTGGCGGTGCCAGGATTTTAATCATGTGTAGTCAACTCAATCTCGTGTAGTCGTGTTGTCAAGATATATGCAGTTCTCTTTTGTGAAACATTAGGAGAGGATTTCTTAACAAGGTCCCACTAGCGAGGATAAGAGAGTCTACTCACGCGGTATTACATTACACAAATGACAGGCACTAGCAAACGCCCAAAGAAAGGCCTCCTCTTTGATCTTATTGGAAACAATTGTCGACGTGGCAGCTTTGTTTCAAAAAAAAATTACGTTCCACTTGTTCCAAAGTTCCCAAGAGATGAGCAAGAGCAAGGATGCCAGGGCCTTCCCCGAGCGCCCTCTATCTAGAACATTCTTGAACCACCATTCCTTGACTGATATCTCGTGCCACCAAGCCATCGTGCTGCCATTGTTGAGGCTGATCCATAAAGCCACGTCCGCCCAAACGCGTTTGGAGAATCTGTATGGGAATAGGAAATGGGGCACCAATTCGTTGACTTGCTTGCAGAGCGGGCAAAGCCCATAATTTGGCCAGCCCCGCCGTTGTAGTCGATCAGCCGTCCACACTGTTATTCCTTCAAAAAACAAACCGTCCACATTGTTGTGAAGAACTTGCACTTTGATGGTGCCCAAACCTTTCAAAGTGCCCTAGTCATATTGCTTCTGAGGTGGCCCTCAAATTATGCCATGTAGGCCGAAGAGGCCGAGTACGCGCCACTAAAATTGAGTTTCCAGGAGATAGTATCGCGGTCGCGGACGCCGGCGTTAAAACTGATCTCAGAAACCTTTTCCCAAGGAATTGAGAATTCCTGGATCTGCGCCAAGGAAAGGATGCGAGTGACATGACCGGTCAGTAAGATGAGTACTCGCTCCTTGAGCTCGGTCAGTTGTTCACCAAATACAGCACGTCACAAGGTACTCCACAAACAAACCACATTGGACTTCACAAGCAACATTTTTTTGCCCACTGGATCACCTTGAGTTCCAGTTCTTCACGAACGAAAAAACCAGCCAGCCAAAGAAACGCAACCTAAAGACGTCCACAGATAAGACAGCGCCGCCCGGTCACAAGGTACTCCACAAAAAAACCACATTGGACTTCACAAGCAACATTTTTTTTGCCCACTGGATCACCTTGAGTTCGATCAGTTCTTCACGAACGAAAAAACCAGCCAG